CATATTTGCATGTCCCTTCAGTGATATAAAAAAATTGATATGCAAGTCTTTTCTCTGAATAATTTTTTTTTAATGGATTTTTACTTATATAATTCTCTTTATACAGCAAGAACAGTTATGTGAAGGGATATGCTTGTAAGTTAGTGTCCACTCACTTTTGCATTTCTGGTACAAAGTCAGACCCTTGTCACGGTAGAGTAAGAGACTTTGAGTAGTGTTCAATCCCCAATAAATTTTAATTTCACTTCTTAAGAGATTAACATGCACTCACTGCAGTAAAAACGTGTTGGGACAGTTTTTAAAGTAGCTTAAACTGCACTCTAGAGAAGACTTCTGAGAAGTTAAAATTTGGTCAAGTTAATATACCGTAATTTTTCAAAATGTGTGAATATTTATTCTTCTGTGGTGCGTTGGTTTTGCACAATGTCTGTCCTACTGCGTGGTGGGAGGCAAAAAAGTCCTCTTGTGTGGCAGCCTAGGAGGTTGTGTGCGCCTGCCTGAAGTCCACACACCAAGACATACCACTAATTTCCAGTACCTAATGCAAATGCTTTATTGGAACATGCTTTTATTCTCACTTCTGAGAAGCCAAAGTTTTGCCCAGCAGAAGTCAGTTGGCTCTATTGATGGAGTTACTGATTAATAAAAGGCTTGCAAACAAATTCCTGGTTGTCTGCCTCCTGGGTGGAGTCCTCCTTCACATTCCTGCCACGCTCAGTGGTTTCCTGGGTTGCTCAGCTCCTCTGGATCCCAAGGAATGTCTCCTCCTTTCCGTGACCTCAGAGGCTTGGCTTTCATCTGTGCCTCACTGCGAGCATTTCTTCCTCTCCAGGGCTTCTGCTCTACACTCTGTGCTGGGAACTCCCTGCTCGCTGGGTCCCTCCCTCCCCAGCCCTCTGTGGGGCTCCAGCAGCATCTCACACCGGCACGTGCTCAGTTGTTCCCTCCACCTTTCCTTGTTTTCTGGGCAAGGGGTGTATTCTGCTCCCAGAGAACATCATCAGGAAGGTCAGCAAGCAGACTTCATCTCTGCAGCTCCTTCTTTCTCAGATAGTATGGGATATAACCACATGAACTGGAAACCAGCCTGCGCTGAAGTTTTGCCAGCAGTCACACCCCATATACTCCCATGGAGCAATAACAGAGAGAAGGGACCTTGACCAGAGTCTGATTCCAACACTGCCAGTGTTTTGTAAGGCTAAGCCGAGCTACGCATCCAAAGTGAAAACCCACCTACAAGCACAGCTTTGGAAAACCTGGTCAGCAGTCAGCTGTCAGGAGCGTACAATTGCCTAAAAGACACGCTAGCTGTGGGATTGCTCAGTTTTTGGTGTGCATGCAAGCATCATGTGCTAGGCCATGCTAATTTGTCTGATATCACTAAATAACACCCTTTTCTCCCCTGAGAGCTCATCTGCACAGTGTGCATTCGTCCATTGAGTAGAATCATTGCACCCTTCATGGATTTGCATTTGATGGCAGTTTACAAGTTGTTTGCGCTTAATTTTTGGATAAGCAGTATTAAAGTTTCAAGATCAGTTATGTTAATATGAAACTAATTATTTTTGCTTTTTGTTTTCTCTTTTTGTAAACTCTGATGCAGCATTACGTTGACTTGTGTTCTGTCTCTGCTTTGGCTCAGTTCCCGTATCTTTCCATTTAAAGTTGTCTATATTTCCTTTGCTTACCCAACTCCTGTTTTCCTTTCCAAATAAGGTGAATACAAGGCAAACTACCTAAAACCTGTATATTCTTTTTTTGTGTTGACTTGCGGGGAGCCTTGTTACACCCATGCTTGATTTGAGCAGAACCTCTTGTGTTAAATCATTATACGTGCCGTTTCTTTGTCCGGTTTGTTGGAGACATTTGCAGCACAGCTTACCCTGTGCTACATGATGTTCACTGTGCTGTTTGCAATATGAAGTAAGGTTCATATTACACCCTGTTTCCACTTTCCAGTTATTTAATATTAAATGTAATATGCAAACAACTCTGTTTGCAAATTACTGAGGCTGAATTTAGTAGCCCTCTCCCAGAATCCTTTACTGTGAACACCTTTTACCTTCAGTTGTATCTATAAACTGGCATTTTATAGCTTATGAGGCCAGAGATCATCTGTGCTCTACACATACCATTGGGGAAAATGGATGGCACAAGGAATGGTGAGCTCAATTTCCCCTCTGAATCTGGGCAATATACCCCAGCTCCTTTAGAAAAGTAAACGCCCCTGAGTTACTGGTGTATTTTTTCTTAGCTTAATGGTGCTTCCTCCTTTATTTCAAGTCATCTTTGTTCCTGTTACTGTTCTGCAGTTTTTGCTTTGTTTAACCAGCAATAAAATGCGTTAACAAACTGTTGTCCCTTGGATCAGCTCAGGTGATCTTTATAGCTATTTGTCAGGCTTTATTATAATCAGCAAGATGAAGGATATTTCCTTGACTTATATTGCATGTAGGAACAGGATTTTTTTTATCCCAGCCTTTAATTTCTGTGGGCGTTACGTAAAATTTCCCGTTCCAGTTGCCCAAGTTGGAAGGGATGATCCTAGTGTTTTATTACGCTGACAGCTATTGTTGGGTACCTTTGTCTGACAGAGGAGTGAAGGGAGTCTCTTGATCCTTCAGCAAGTACCAGGCTAACTCTGGGATTCTCCTTCCTTTGTGTCATTGTACAGACATCTTCTCGATTATTGGTGCGACCAACCAGCTCTGAGACACCCAGTGCTGCAGAACTAGTCAGTGCAATTGAAGAGCTCGTCAAAAGCAAAATGGTGAGGCTGACTGGTAGATGCATTGTGTTTAAAGAAGTTGTGTCTTCAAGTCCTGACTTGCTATTCAAAGAAATGCTACATGTGTTTGACTTGTAAAACTTTATGCCTGTTTCAAGAGTCACTGTCTGAGTTGATGTACGGGTCGTTTTGTACACCCTCTTTTGTAAAAGCACTTACCGAATAGGTAAATGGCTATGTAGAGAAGCACAAAGCAGTAAGTAAGAGGGAAGGGAGATGGCAGAAAATGTATGTCCTGTTAGTAAAAAGAACAGGTCCTATTAATAAAATGAATGCAAAGACCCAGGGTCTTAGCCTGATAGACCTTTATGAGAAGAATCCCTGAAACTAAATTTATAGCAAATCTTGCAAGGTTCCACAGTAAAGCAGATAACCCTCACACAGAAGCATTTATGCTGTCTAGCTGCTCTTTAGGCAACGTGATAATGAAGAAATAAGTAAAAGAGTAAAAGGATCATTTTGCATGTTAGTGCCTCCTTTCTTCCTTTTAGCGTCTGCTGACAAATTGGGTAGGTGGCATTTGTGTCAGCTTTAAGTTTTTATATTTTAAAGTTTCTGTGTTTCTGAAGATGCTCATTGACAAAGAATAAGGTGTATGGATAATTCCAGGAGGGCCCTCCTTCATATTTAAAACCCAGCTTGACCCAGTCCTGGAAAAACTGCTCTAGCTGACCGTGTTTGAGCAGGGAGATTGGACTATATGGTCTCAAGAGGTCCCTCAGCAATTCTGTGATTCCCTCAAAACCTCAGGAAAAGTCTAGCTTTTGCAACATAGACCCTCTTGGGCTTAGTAGAAGTGCAACTGTGAAAACTACAGAGAATTGCAACATGACAGCCCCGTGTTACGAGACATTGATATTTCCCAGGCTCGTTCTAAATTTAAGCAGCTTTGAATTTCGGAATGAGAAATTTTATTTTCTATTTTGCAGTTCCTCATTCAGAAAGACTTATACTTTGCTTACATAACTGCATGAAATAATTACTGCACTCTCTTAGAGTATAAACTTTGCTTTTTACTTCTCTCGCACCAGAAGGATGAATAAGAAGTGATCTATGGGAAGATTCAACAGTGTCTTTTGTAAATAGAAAGTTTGATAGTCCATGTGTCTTTCAGGCAGCCTGGGAGTGGATATAACTTAATAATCCATGCATGTAGTCCCTGGTGGAGATGTTCTCATTTCACCATTTTAGCCAAGGGTCAGCTTCCTCTGTTTTTTGGGCCAGTCATACCATTATTGGCTTTTTACTTTTTGT